AGTCTGTTTAATCTTCTGAGCCTTGTTTTCGACTTTCCTGAAATGCTAATGGGAAGGAAGTAACTGAGGTTAAGTGGCATAGTGGATTAAGAAGTGCTTTCTACATAGTGTAGAACTCTTGTTTTCCAAGGATTGATTCCTGAGTCCCATCCAAAAATCTACTAAATCATTTTTGGAGGTGAGGTCTGGTCATACATATTTTTTCAAAGCTCTTCAGAAGTAGACAAATGTTTAGGAACTACAGGTGTAGAATATTATGGAGATGTTTTCCCATGCCAAGTGCCTTCCCTTCATTGATTAGCACACTCTAGGCTACATTCTTTAGTGACTTTGTAAGTTCCCTGCATATCTCAAGGGAAAGATTTGATGTGGTTAGTCGGTTGTCATGAGGCATCTGAGTGCAAAAAAAAACAACTTTGTGTTCAAAACTTTATGCCTTTTATAAGAGATCAAAGGTTGACTTGAACAGAAAGGAAGTAGAGTGAGAGATCACTAAAAGTTATTTTATCCTCGTGGGAGTCCTGGTCAAATCTATTCCATCCCACATGGACTACTACATTGCTTTGGTAACTTTGGGGGTCCAGAAGAGAGTGGAGGTGTTAAAAACCTGGTGGGTTGGTATTAATGCTTTTTAAATCTGGGCTGTGACCCAGACAATATTTGATTTATTCCACAATCTATCATGTTTACAGCACTTTATAAATTACAAACATATAGCCCTGGGTGGTGTGGCTCAATGGACTGAGTGCCGGCCTGGGAACCAAAAGGTCGCTGGTTTGATTCCTAGTCAGAGCACATGCCTGGGTTGAGGGCCAGGTCCCCAGATGGGTGTGTGAGAGTCAACCCATTTATGTACCTCTCACACATCAATGTTTCTCTTCCTCTCTTTCTCCCTCCCTTCCTCTCTCTCTTAAAATAAATAAAATCTTTTAAAAAATTTATAAACATATAGTATGTTTAAATATAATAAATGCCTCAGGGTGTGCAGGAAAAGTGCTGTGATTTCATTTTACAGATGAAAAAACTGCTCCTTAGAAATTAACTGACCATGAAAAAAAGACAAATGCAGAGTAAGGACAGGGACGTAGGGTTTTTGAGCCTAGTGCTTTTTTTTCATCTTCTTTTTTGGTGTTAATTTGGCCTCAGATATTGGCCAGAATTAGCCCTGGTCGGGTGGCTCAGGTAATAGGAGTATTGTCCCATGTGCCAAACGGTTGCAGTTTTGATCCCTGGTCAGGGTGTATACAGGAGGCAACCAGTTGATGTTTCTCTCTCATCGATGTTTCTCTCTCTCCTCTACTTCCTCTCTCTCTAAATCAATAAACAAATCCTTCAGTGAGGATTTAAAAAAAAAATTTTTTTGGACTGAATCAAATCACAGGATGTAAAATGTGTTAATTCTCAGGAATTTTGTACCACACATCCTTGCAGGCATTGTGTCGGGCAGAGGATGAAGAGGACATCCGTGCGGCCACCCAGGCGAAAGCCGAACAGGTGGCTGAGCTTGCAGAATTCAATGAGAATGATGGGTTTCCTGCTGGTGAGGGAGAGGAGGCTAGTCGGCCTGGGGCTGAGGATGAGGAGATGTCCCGGGCTGAGCAGGAAATTGCTGCCCTTGTAGAACAGGTCAGTGTTGGACCCACTAGTTCTCAACCTTACTCTCTACAATTCCTTCCTCTGGACTCTGTGACACTCCTGTCATCCCTGGTAAAAGTAATCAGGGCTGATGGGCCGTGGGCACCAGGTCCTTATGTTTATCATCACTGCTCTTCCCGACAGCTGACCCCTATTGAGCGCTATGCTATGAAATTCCTGGAAGCCTCACTGGAGGAGGTGAGCCGAGAGGAGCTCAAGCAGGCAGAAGTGAGTAGCTCTGGAGGGTAGGGTTGCAAGTGGGAAGCTACTGCTTTTCATCTACTCACCACCCTGCTTGTCTTTCTGACCACCGTGTGGGCTCTGTTCTTGGTAGGAGCAAGTGGAAGCTGCTCGCAAGGACCTGGACCAAGCCAAGGAGGAGGTGTTCCGCCTACCCCAAGAGGAGGAGGAGGGGCCAAGGGCTGGGGATGAGGTTTCCTGTGGGACTGGTGGAGGCAGCCACCGGCGCAGTAAGAAGGTTAAGGCTCCTGAAAGGCCAGGGACTCGAGTCAGTGAGCGTCTTCGTGGAGCCCGGGCTGAGACACAAGGGGCAAACCACACTCCAGTCATATCTACCCATCATACCCGCAATACCTCCACAACCCCCCGCTGCAGCCCTGCCAGGGAGCGAGTTCCTAGGCCAGCATCTAGGCCTCGACTCACTCCAGCCTCAACTCCTGCTGCAATTCCTGTCCCAGTCCCTGCCCCAATTCCCATTTCGGCTCCAAATCCATTAACCATGCTTCCTCTTCATATCTCGCCTTCTCCCCCACTCCCTCTGCAGATTCCTCCCTCGTCTTCTGCCTGCACACCTCCTCCTGCCTGTACTCCTCCACCATCTCATACCCCACCTCCAGCCCAAACCTCTGTCTTAACTCCTACCTCCCCTCTCTTGCTTGGTCTGCCTTCTGTGCCCATCTTCCCATCAGTCACCAACCTCCCCTTGGGCTTGGGACCTGAGGCAGAGCTGTGTGCACAAGCATTAGCATCTACCGAGTCCCTGGAGCAAGCTGATAGAGCCTGTTCTGAGACTTCATCGCTTCCTTGTATGCCCCATAAGGATCTATTGCCAGTTGCTGTTGAGATCCTGCCTGTGTCAGAGAAGAACCTTTCTCCCACCTCTTCTGCACCTAGCCCAATCCTGGAGGCTGGCAGCTTCCCAAATGGTCAAGAGCAGGAGGTACCAGAGCCTGCTGAGGGGACCATCCTCACAGTACTGCCTGATGGTGAGGAGGTGCCCATGTGTCTGAGTGAGAACAATGGGCTGACGCTTCCACCTTCAGCAGCATCTGATGAGCTATTTCACTTGCCATTGGAGGCTGACAAGAACTCAGAAGAGCTAGCGGAGGCTGGGACCCCAACATCCAGTCCACAGAAGCCACAGGAACTTGTTTCAGCTGAGGTCACAGCTCCATCAACCTCATCCTCAGCCACTTCCTCACCTGAGGGTTCTTCGCCTGCCCGGCCCCCTCGGCGTCGCACCAGTGCTGATGTAGAAATTCGGGGTCAGGGAACTGGTCGGCCAGGGCAGCCTCCAGGCCCCAAAGTGCTTCGCAAGTTGCCAGGACGGCTAGTGACTGTGGTAGAGGAAAAGGAACTGGTGAGGCGACGGCGACAGCAGCGTGGAACTGCCAGTACCCTAGTGCCTGGGGTCTCTGAGACTGGTGCCAGCCCAGGAAGCCCATCTTCCCGCAGCATGTTGGGGCCAGAATCCTCACCTCCCACCAGTGGGCCCTGTGAAGCTGCTCCCCCATCCACACTGCCCACCCCAACCCAGCAGCCCTTTGTAGCTCGCCGTCGCATTGAGCTGGGGGTGACTGGAGAAGGCAGCCCAGAGAATGGAGAAGGGGCTCTGCTTGCCATCACCCCTCCTGCTGTGAAACGTCGGAGGGGGAGGCCTCCCAAGAAGAACAGGTCTCCGGCAGATGCTGGGCGAGGGGTCGATGAGGCACCTTCATCCACCTCTAAGGGAAAAACCAATGGGGCTGACCCAGTCCCTGGGGCTGAGACCCTTATTGTTGCAGAACCTGTCCTTGGACCCCAGCCAATTCATAAACCCGAACCCATCATCCTATCACCTGTGGAGAAAAGAAGGCGTGGGCGGCCCCCTAAGGCACGCGATTTACCCATTGCTGGGACCATTTCCTCTCCAGGGGATGGCAGCTTAGAGAGCCGGACACAGCCACTCCCAGTATCACCACCCGTGCCACCACTCCCACCACCACTTGTATCCAGTTCCATTGCTACTGTCGCCAACACTGTCACCACTCTCACCATTTCAACATCCCCACCCAAGCGGAAGCGGGGCCGACCTCCCAAGAATCCACCATCACCTCGGCCCAGCCATCTCCCTGTCTTGGACCGGGACACCTCTTCTGTCCTTGAGAGCTGTGGATTGGGGAGGCGGCAGCAACCCCAGGGCCAAGGGGAGAGTGAGGGTAGTTCCTCTGATGAGGATGGAAGCCGCCCCCTCACCCGCCTGGCCCGCTTGCGCCTTGAAGCAGAGGGAATGCGGGGACGAAAGAGTGAAGGGTCTATGGTGGTGGCTGTAATTCAGGATGACCTGGATTTAGCAGATGGTGGGCCAGGCGGGTTAGAATTGACACCTCCTGTGGTCTCATTAGCTCCAAAACTGCGCTCCACCCGGCTGCGTCCAGGATCTCTAGTTCCCCCACTAGAGACTGAGAAGGTGCCTCGAAAACGGCCAGGGGTCTCAGTTGGCAGGGGCCCTGGGCCCATGAAGCGGGGCCGCCTACAGTCCCCAAGTCCCTTGGGACCTGAGGGTTCAGTAGAGGAGTCTGAGGCTGAAGCCTCAGGTGAGGAAGATGAGGGGGATGGGACCCCACGCCGCCGTCCTGGCCTCCACCGGCTTGGTGGGACGACCAACCAAGGGGACCAGCGCATCCTGCGCAGCAGTGCTCCTCCCCACCCAGCTGGCCCTACTGTTAGTCACAGAGGCCGAAAGGCCAAGACGTGAGTGGGCTGCCCCTCCACCTAAGCTTTCCACCATGGCCCCTCTTCCTCCACAACCAGGCCTGATTCTGTTAACCACTACTTGAAGTCTTATGAGGGGAAAGCCTCCAGGGAGACATAGGGGCCTTCTCCCTTCTTTCCACCAAAGTAGGGGGTAGGCAACTGGTTGTCATGAAAATGGGGCACTTCATATATTCCCTTCCCTTCCACCCCACATGGCTGGGCAGTGTTAGGGTGGCAAGATAGTCTCTGTCCCCACCCCCTTGTACTTGATTCCCAAGCAACCTTTCATAGCCCCCCCCCCCACCTTTAGGGGAAGGGGGAGGGGCTTATCTACAATGAGTTTTTCTTTTTTTTTTTTTTTTTAAGAAAAAAAATAATAAACTTAGTTTCTGTATGAGCATCCGCGTAAGGAGGCTTCTGATTTTCTGGTCTGGTGGAGGGTTGGGTGGGAACTTGGGCATCTTTTTTTCTTGCTCCTTCCAAGATCTTAGTACTTCATTTGTGACCCAGAATTACATACCTTTGGGATAGCAGTCTCCACCCAAGAAGAGGGAAGATTCAGCAAATCTCATCTCCTGGTAGGGTGCCTTTCCCTGAAGTTTACAGTCACTCAGAGTCATACTTTTCTCCCTTCCATTCTCTCAGTTCCTGGACTTCCCCTCAGAGTTCTCTGATGCCTTAGACTTTTCCCTGCTTTTATCTCCCTTGCTCAGGCGCTTTTTACTCCTTTTCCAGAAAGCAGGCATCACACTACCTTGAGTTGCTCCCATTGTTTTCCCTCCTTTGGTTTCCTCCATCTAGCCAAACTGGTTTGAGTCAGCTACACCCCCATATGAGCTCCTGGGGCTCTGCAGATGGTGGCTGGCCATCCAACCCCACCCCTGGGCTTGGCTTGGAGCTCTGAGTCAGCTCTGTCTCTACCCAAGCAAAATCAAACCTGAGGCAGAAGCCGAAACTCACAGTACCTCAAGGCTTACAGCCAGGTAAGAGCCCCTGTTCGTTTTACATTTTTTCTGATTTGAACTCCCTGGACCTTTTTCTTGTGTTATGTCCCCCCGCCCCCACCCATATCTCTTATCTGTTCACCCCATGGGAATTCTTTCCTCATACCCACTATTGCAGCTTTGTGGCACATGTTTTTCGCGCTCTGCTTATCTTGTTTCTTCTACCCTTTGTATCCTGTTTGTATTTAGAGAACTGCAAATGCTTTCCATTTATCTAGGATGTAGAGGAATGGTTGGAGATGCTGCAAAGCTCAGAGGACCTGAGAAATAGGGAGATGAGAAGTGATTAAGTAGGGCATCATTATGCAGGTTTCTGTGTGGGTTATGAGATCATCCAGACTCTGTTAATCTGATTGTGTTGTGTGGCCTGGGTTGAAATGGAGAAAGGAAGTGGCAGGGAGTCACCGTAGCAAAGGAGGACCCAGTCTGGGGAGGTAAGGTCTTTCTGATTGCTCAACTCTAAAGACAGCTTAAATGGGTAATTTTCCCCATGCCCAGAGTTGCGGTTTCACATTTAATCATTGTTCAGGGCTTGGGTGCCATTCTCAGATCCCTCCTTAATATTCCTGAGGAATTTCAGGAAATTTTAGTGCCCCTTGAAATACAGTTTAAAGATTAGATTTTGATAATTTCAGATGCCTAGCAGGTGTTGAGATTCTGTTTCCTGCTTGTCAGTGTGTGCCAGTCATTTTGCTTCTCCCCACTTGTCAAAACAATAATACAGGTAATGCTATGTTCACACTGGCCTGCCTTTAAAGACTCCGGATCTTAAGCTGAGGAAAAAGGATTTCAGCCACACTTCCTCTGTTGGTTTATGAGTCATTAGAGGAATTCCTCAGTAAGGCAGCATTCCTGAGAGTTGGGCGAGGCCACAAGAACAGGATCAGAGATAGGTAGAGTCTGAGCAAGCCAGGCCAAGTGCTCAGTTTTGGGGCTTAAAAGTACCTTGACTGTATCACCCACAGGTGATGGAGGACGAGGAGAATGCAGTGGAAATCTTGGTGAGCAACACGGAAGCTGCTCATTCTCCACCCCCCATTCGCTGCTGCTGGCTCCGCCTCCGCTACTTGGCAGCTACTAGCATTATCTGTGGCTGCTCTTGCCTGGGAGTCATGGCCCTTGTGTTTGCCATCAAGGTGAGGAATGCAGTACCTATGGGAGCAGAAGGGTGGGTATAGTAAGGCAATTGGTACATATATCTGGTATATCTACATTGATCAAACTGTTACTAAGTATCTGTCAGAGCTTGGTGTTGAGCTTTGTGCCGGAACTAAGAATATGATATGGTTCTTGCTGTCAAAGTTTCCACAGTCTAATGAAGGAGATGGCTGTGAAAATGGGTATTTATTAATGGAATGCAGCTCATTGGTACAATTGTAGAAAAAGCACGGGGTATTCTGGGAGCAGGGGAGGATGTATATGGGTGATTACATATGTGTGTGTAAGAGTTGGTGACAGGAAAATAACCATATAGGATGGGTGAATTAGGGTAAAAGAGCATTCCAGGTAAAGGAAGCAGTGTGTACAAAGGCCTTGACTATTAGTTCAGCATGACTGGACCAGTGAGAAATAGTGAGAGATGATGCCAGAGGGTACAGATTCCCAAGGACCTCCAATGCTTAGGAATTCAACTGGGGAACCATTCAAGGGTTTTTTGTGGAGGAGAGGAACATGGTCAAATTTGTGTTTCAGTAAGATCGACTCTCAAGGCGTACATGGAGAATGCATTGGAAGAGGCAAGACTGGAGACAGCTGAGCAGTGATGAGAGCAATCTGTAGGAGCCCAGGAGCTATAGGGGTTTTGAGAGGGCTTCATCATTTCAAAATACCTAACAGAAACTGCACATTTACCTTTTGAAAGGTCACACAGGCTAACGTAAACATGCTGGAATTTTCTCAACCCTAGTTTTATTTTAACAATCAGAAACTGTATTCTTGTCATCATAGGAACTTCTGGGTTCCATTAAGGCAAAATCATAAAAAAAATTCTTAATGAAAAACATGAGAGCAATTGGACTAATAAGAATGGTATGTTTTCTGACTGGGCATGAATGAAATACTCCTAGCTTACTATTTTTCACCAAGAATTTCAAATTTGGAATGGATCTGGGATGAATAGACAAGAATAGGGAATAAGAGGATTGAAAAGTACTTTACCATAAGTAATCTTGTGAGGTAACAATAGCAATGCTGAAAAAGAATAAAGAGGATAACTTATTTTGCAAATGAGGTATGAGAAATAGAAACTGGAAAGGGAGGTAGAGGATTTGGGTGTGAGGTTTTGAGCCATGTCAAGGATGGAAGATTGGAGCGGGGCACTGGGCACTTTGGGACAGAAGCAGGGGGAGAACCTAATTAAAACCTGCCCCCACAGGCGGAAGAGCGGCATAAGACAGGCCAGTCCGAGGAAGCACTGCACTGGGGGGCCCGGGCCCGGAGGTTCATCCTGGCCAGCTTTGCTGTCTGGCTTGCCGTCCTCATTATGGGCCCCCTGCTTCTGTGGCTGCTCTCTTACGCCATCGCCCAAGCTGAGTGACCCTGGGTGGCCTCTTCTGAGGGTCAGCCGAGCCCTCTTGGATCCTGCAATGTGGCATTGCTTGGGTCTGGTGCCAGCAGTGGTCCTTCCTGGCTGGAGGATTGTGCCTCTCTCAAAGGGCTTTGGAAGAGCTCAAGCCCTTTATAAAAGGAGGCAGCAACTGGGACTGATGAGGGGAGGTCAGCCTGCTCTGTTCTTTCACTGTTCATCATTCCCTGTTCCCCCTCAAGTTACCTCATCCTAAGGGCCTCTACCCAGAGGTGGGGTTGAAGACCAGGCCTGGTTTTATTAGAATTTGTTTTGTAATAAAAACCTTTTTTAGTGGTGAAATGCTGCTCCTGTCTACTTGTTCTTTCCTTATTTTTCCCTGGACCTTGGTGAGAGCCAGAGTGGACACCTGACTGAGGGTAGAAGTCTGCATTTTCCCTTACATAGTTACTCCATGAGAAGGAAAAATTTCTTTTTTCTTCTTCTAGAAGTGTCCCTTTTTAGAAAGACCCCAGCTTCTCACTTTTAGAAAGGCCCGAGGCCAGAGAATGAGAGTAGTCGCACCAGTTACTATTTATTGAGTGCTTGATATATTCCAGGCTGTGTTCTAAACACTTTATATTTTTTAATTCCTTCAGTTCTCACAATCACTCAATAGTAAGTACCATTGTTCTCATTTTATAGTTGAGTAAATAGGCACGAATTACAAGGTCACACAGATAGCAAGAGGCAGAGCCGGGACCGAACCCAGGCTGTTTGGTTCCAGAGTTGAGAGAGGAGTCAAAGGATTGGGTATAGCAACCATTACGCTGTATATGCAGATGTCTATGGTTATGAATTTTCATATCCTTTATCTTGAGCTTAATAATATTTTTAAAATGAGGTATATCACACATACAGGAAAACATCTAAAATACACAGTTCAATAGGTTAACACAAAGCAGACATCTGAAAAACCATCATTCAGTCAAGAAATTGAGCATTGCCAGCACTCTAAATCCTCCTTCATATGCCTCCTAATCATTGCTCCTTCCTTTGTTCCCACAGGTAACTATTATTCTGACGTCAAACAATGTAGTTTAGTTTTGCCTGCATGAATGTTTTATACATGGGTTAATATGTATTCTTTTTATGTCTGGCTTCTTGACATTTGTGAGATTCATCAATCTTTGGTGTAGGTGTAGTTTTCATTACTGTGTAATATTCCACTACATGAATATATTACAATTTATCCATTTTATGTTAGTGGATTTTGGGGATGATTCCAGTTTTGGGAAATCATGAGTCATTCTGCTGTGGATATTCCTGTACATGTCTCTTTAAGTACATATGCCCTGGGAGTGGAATTTTTGGGTTATTTTACCATAATTCAGAGACCAGCATAGCACCTAAAAGAATCAGAGATACTGCACAGTGAAGACAGGATTAAAGGGGAAGGAGAGGCATCTGATGGTTGTCTTCAGTGTTTCAAAGTGCTTCAGGAAGGAAAAAGTGAAGAGAATTCATTTTTGGTCTCAGAGTTTAGAATGACACAATAGGTGGAAGTCAGACATAGGGCAGTGGTTCTCAACCTTGCCTTCAACAATGGAACCATGTGGGGAACCTTAAGTATTCATGCTTGGGCTTTACTTTTGAAGGTTCTGATTTAATCTGATCTAAAGGAGTGAGGTGCTGCATGATCCTCAGGATAACACATTCTAGAGAGATTTTTACAGAAACTTTTTAAAAAGCTGATACTTGATTAATCAGCAGCTTCGGTTTACTAGAAAAGAGTATCTTGTTCCCCCAAACTGACTAAATGAGGTCTTGCTGATTTTTAACTCTATTTTGAAAAAAATTCCAATCTACAGAATAAAAGAATAGTATGATGAACTCGTGTACTCTCCAACTAGACATAATTTTTAATATTTACTCACATTTACTGTGTATTTTTCTGAATATATATGTTGTGCCCTAACTGGTGCAGCTCAGTTGGTAGGGCATCATCCCACAAAGCAAAAGGTTACCGTTTCCATTCCTTGTCAAGGCACATGCCTGGATTGCTGGTTTGGTCCCTGGTCAGGGTGTGTACAAGAGGAAACCAGTCAATGTTTCACTCTCACATTGATGCTTTTCTCCCTCTTTCTCTCTCTCTAAAATACAAATAAAATCTTTAAACAAACATGTTGTTATTACTGAACCATTCGAAGTTAAGTTGAAGGCTTATCATTCCTAAATTCTTTAGGATCTATCTCCTACAAACAAGAATATTTCCTTGCATAACTAGGAAACAATTATATACTCCACAGAAGTTAATGTCAATACAAAATTATCTTCTAATATATAGTCCATGTGCAAATTCGCTTTTTGTCCCAATGACATCCTTTATAGCAATTTATTTTCTGCTTTAAGGTCCATCATGGGAACACACTTGTCGCACTCAACTGTTTCTTATCTTTTGGTCTTTTTCAGTTTTTAGCAGGTCCTCATCTTTTTAATTTTTTTCTTTGTGTCTTTCATGACATTTTTGAGGATAGGCCAATTTGTAGAATATTCTCAATTTAGGTTTTGATTGGATTCAGGTTAGAAATACTACATAATACTACATATGCCTCAGTACATCATATGAGGAGGCATATGATGTCAATGTGCTCTTTTGGTGGTGGTAACACTGACAATTTTGTTAAGGTAGTGCCTGTCAGATTTCTGCAAGGTAAAGATACTTTTATTCTCTGTAATTAAAAAGTTATCTGTACAAATATCCCGTTCCCAAGCAAACTTTCACCAATAATTTTAATGCCTAGTTTGCCCAAGAAAATTATGAGGCTTACAAAATGCTGATGTTTTAAGTTTATCATTCTACATTTATTAGTTGGCATTCTACTATGACAAAGATCCTTTACTCCTTCATTAGTTATTTACAATTTTTAGTGTCAGTATGATTCAGATTGTTCTTGTATAATTTATTTACAGTAAAGTACACAGATCTCCAGTGTGCAGCTTGGTAAATGTTTTGATATGAACACACCTATGTGATCACCACCTAGGTGAATAGACCATTTCTAGCATATCAGAAGGCTCCCTCATGGCCCTCTCTGTCTCATTATTTCTGTTCCTGGTTTTGGCCAATGGAAACCTTTTCAACCTGGTTCTTGTGTCCTTCTGATAAGTGCCCAACTTTGTTCACTTTTCTGGCACAAATTATTCTATGTTCATCTTCCACTTTCTCAGCTCCAGCCTGGGAATTGGCCATTTCTCTGTAAGCCCTGGTTCTTCTTACTGGGGACTTATTTTGAAGTCAAAGTCTAGACACTAGCTTTGCTCATTCTGCTGAGATATTACTTCACAAATTTGTGTGTCATCTTTGTGCAGGGGCCATCCTAATCTCTGGATCATTCCAATTTTAGTATATGTGCTGCCAAAGTGAGCACTCTACTGAGACGTTATTGGTTCTAGGCTCTTTCAGAGATTAGAGCTAGAAAATAGGTAATTTTATCTATTTTAAATCTTTCTAAAATCACATCTCCAATTTAAATCAGTCATAAGGTTCTTCTGCTCCTTTCCTCATTCTAAATTCCATATTCCCTCAGTAAGAACCCTGGCTGCCAAATACATAAATACGTTTTTTCACTTTCTCAATTTCAGAATACTTAAACTACCAAATAACAAGCCTACTAAGTAAAGTTCAAGATTTTTTGCAGTTATTTTATCTTTAGATTGATGGTATAGTCAAAGTACTCCGTTAAAAAGTTATTTGGACTTGTTACATGGTTGTAATTCCAAAGAGAGATTTCTAAGATAGAAGGTTTGCCCTGGCTGCTGTGGCTCAGTGGATTGAGGGCCATGGTGCCTTTGAACCAAAGGGTTGGTTAGATTCCCAGTCAGGGCAGAGGCCTGGGTTGCCGGCCAGGTCGCCAGTAGGGGGCACTGGAGATGCAACCACACATCTCTCTCTCCCCCCCTTCCCCTCTCAAAAATAAATAAAATCTTAAAAAGAAAAGGTTAAATATATTCATTCTGTACCTCCTTCGCTTGAACACAACTTCTACAAGGGGAGGGACTTTCCTCATTGCTGTTAGTCTAGCACAGCTGCTTTCAATTCATGTCCTTCAAGAGGCACACTGGTGTGCCACAAGGATTTTTAAAACATGCAATACCTATTTAGTCAGGGGTACTGACTTCTGTTCTCTTAGATTATCAAACTTAAGAAATGACAACAGCCAATACAATAGCCGTCCAATGTAAATGAATCAAAATTATACCTATTTTTTGTCAGATCAGTAAAAATTATAACACTTTTTTGGTCTGCCACAGAATTTTAATAATTAGCTTGTGTGCCATGAGATGAAAAGGTTGGAAATCGCTGGCCTAGCTCATAGATGCTCAACAAATTTCATATATTTTATACACACACACACACACACACACAGATATAGATATCTATCTCGCATCTCACAGAGAATATGTTTTATTGATTTTCGAGAGAGAGGGAGAGAAACATCGATCGGGGATGGAACCTGGAACCTAGGTATGTGACCTGACTCGAGATCCAACTGCGACCTTTTTCTTTGGTGTACAAGACACCAAAAAATAATAATAATAATAATTAATTAAAAAACCAACCAACCAACCAATCAACCTGCTCTAAATGAGCCACCCTGCCAGGGCTCAACAAATATTTGTTGAATGAGTAAGTGAGTGCTGGGATTAAGCTGTGCACACTGAGACGGTATAAGAAGGAAGTCGCTCCTAACAGAATCTCACAAACTGGTAGGCTTAGAACAGAGTGTGATACTCTCCCAAGGCTTTGGGGAGGCGGTGGCGGAAAATTGGAAAAATGGATAGCCCCAGCTAGTGAGCACTGGGGCTTTAGAAGTATAGTCAAGGGTCAGAACAGTCACCGGAGGAGGTAGCTTCTTCTGGTTGACGACTCTGTAATGTCGACGTACGCACAAAGTGGCCAAGTTGAAGTAAAAGCTGTAAGTTCCTAGAGTTCTCACGGCTGGAGTTTGCGCCTCAATAGGGCTGCTAATATAGAGTCTAATTCACACAGTGATGGTGGGAAGAGACTGAGCGGGCCATGCCTAAATCCGGGAATCCGGGGCGCTGCGACTCCATACCTCTCGGCAATCCAGACGCCATGCTTCCCAGGAAACCTAGCTTCCGGGTCGCGTTCTAAGCCTCCAACCCCACTGGTCAACAAGTTCCTGCCCCGCATATGCCCTGCACTGACTGGTCATATTTGAAGCCCCGCCTTAGAGTCGTTGCCTTAGGTAACTTCGAGCTCCAACGCCCGCTCCAGCCTCAGGATTCTCGGCTTCCTATTGGACAATCAGTTTCCAATCGGGA